TGTTTTCAACAGTCCAACCTATTCCCCAGATTTGTCTCCGTGTGGTTTTTTCACTGACTGACTGACTGACTGACTTTCTACCCCATTAGGACATCACACAAGCGAGAAACACCCGATGACACATGTGGACCATGTGGATGAGAATCACCGTGGAGAGGTCCCAGAAACCGCGTTCAGACAATTGGCCATATTTGTGGCCTGCCTATATTGCGGCCCCTGGAAAAAGCCAGGGTGGGGCTTCAGATTACAAAAAAATTCATCCTGAAAAGGACGAAAGGATTGCTGTGGTTTTTTTTAACATTTCCAAAATTAAAGATCCTTAGTGACCAGGCTGTGGCTCGTAAACAGAAGTTTAAAAAGGCCCATCGAAAAAGTGAAGAGCGCATTGCACACAAAAAAAGAAAAGAGTTGTTAAAAAACATTGAAAACCCAAGAAATCAAAAATACATTAAAGTGTTGCTATTCTCAGTATTAAAAAAAAAATTTGCTCTTTCTCAAAAATAAATATAATTAGTTGCCCTGACTTTCCTACTGCTTGTCTTCCCTATCCCCTTTCCTGCCATCTCGTCCGCCTTCTTATCATTATATCCTGTCATCTCCTTATGAGATGCAATTTTTCGTTATTTTGAAGCCCCACCCTGGCTCTCGCCAGGGGCTTCAATATAGCCCGACCATAAATATGGTCTAATATCTGAACGCGGTTTCTAGGACTTCGCCATGGGTGATCATCATGGTGGCACTCTGTGTCATCGGATGTTTATCACTTGTGCGATGTCCTAGTGGGGTAAAAATCTACTACTACTACTTTGACGTTATTGATGGTGTCCAAAGGGCTTTAACGTCGACTTTAAGGGTCATAACAACAGATCGTGCCACTCGCTGTATCAATGCACAAGGGGCTTACTTTGAATAAAAAACAGGTTATATCTTTAACTTTTGATTAATTTAATTTGTATGGAATCAGTCTCATCACTTAATTGTCGGACATTATTTTCGATATCAATGTACTGTGGCTGATTAATGTAGGCTGGATTCTTCATGTACGCCTTCACCTGTGCTACTGGTTGCCACACAAAATTCGTTAACGCCTGTCGTCCCCTTACATCGTACACTCCTTTGTTTGAAGCCATACCCTGACTTCTGCCGGGGCATAGACGTGGCCTAACGGCTGAGAGGAGTTTCTGGGACCTCTCCACGGGTGATCCTCATCCGCATGGTGGCACTGTGTCACCGGGTGTTTATCGCTTGTGTGATCTCCTGGTGTGGAATAAATACCTACCCTCCTGGTGGCCACCGTCGGTTAAAACAGATCATATCTCATGACCAGGACCGGATTACCTGTTAAAGCACACTAAGCACATGCTAAGGGCATCACAAAGGAAGGGGACACCACATAAATCTCCAATAGCCTTAGAGCTGAGCGTTTATTTTTTCGGCTGAAGTATATTACCAAATCACATCAGAACAACAACAAGGCACGCTGTGTGCCTCATCAATGTTAAGTATAGAAGCAGATGTATTACAAAAGATTAGTTTGAGGATATGATCAATGACTTCGACATTTAAAAAAAATTAGGAGAAAACTTTTTCAAATATAAATAAAGTGGAAGTATAGAAAAATTGGCATCGTTTTCCATCTTACTGTAGGTTATGTTTAATTTAGATTAAATAACATTGTATTTAATGTTTTATTATAGCTAATATATTTCGAATCACAAATATATATATATGAAGACACCAGTGCCATCTTAACACATGGAGCCGCTGGGAGGCGGGACAACAGAACACATCCCAGATACACCATTCAACCTCCAGAAAAGTTATAATTAGGTCATCGATAATGGCTAGAACAGCGTAGTGTAACCTACAGTCCGGTGCGGATGAGGGTGCAATTAATTATCCTTTACAGATCTCTCTCTCTCTCTCTCTTTCTCTCTCTCTCTCTCTCTCTCTCTCTCTCTCTCTCTCTCTCTCTCTCTCTCTCTCTCTCTCTCTCTCTGACAAATAAAGTAGTACTAGCAGTAAGACAGAATGAAATGATACACAAACAAACGGGTCTGTTCCTCTGACAAGTGAAGCAGTAGAGGACCCAAAATCATACCCTTTTTGCTTTCTCCTGAAGTTTGTCATATTTCAGATGGCCCTTTAAGCTGTACCATGGTGCTTGGGGCTTAGTGCTCTGTACAGCGGGGTTAGGTAAACTGTAGCAGTTGGGTGCTGCAAGATAGTGGGACAATATTAACGAAACATCCGATGCCCAATGAAACAGAAGAAAGTGACATTGAATAAACATTACGTGCTAAATGCATCAAGAGAATGTCACGTTATTAACTAAATATTATGTGTTGAATGCAGCAACACAATGTGACATTATTACCTAAACATATGATGTCAAATGAAACTAAAGAATGTGACATTATTAGTTTAACATTGCATGTTAAATGAAGTACGAGAATAAACTAATCATTAGTGGGAATAAACCCCAGGTGGGTCCATCCTCATGGTTTTGGAAATAAAGGTTGCTAGCGTGTTACTGGCCACATCAACGACCCAGTGACGATTGTTCTAGTAAAATATGAGTTAAGCTTCATTTTCCTGATTCACTACTGTGGTGAGAAGGGTATTTTACTTAACTTGCTTACAATGAGTAAACTGCAGAAACAGACATGACACAATTCACTAAACACTACAGAAGACAAGCAGTCAAGTGAAACAAGAGAATGTGACATTATTTAACTAAACATTACTAAAAGAAAACTATAGAAACAGACATTTCACAAATAACTAAACATTACACGAGATAATTTGCATATGGAGTGAACTGAAACACATTATTTAACTAAACATTACTAAAATTAAACTACAGAAAGACACTTTTCATGAATAACTAAACATTAAACAAGATAATCTGCATGACAGGTAATGAAATAAAACACGAGCGTGCGACAGTATTTAACTAAACATTACTGAAAGTAAACCAGAGAAAAAAAGTGTGACACGATTAAGAAAACCTTACAGAAGATAATTTGCACATAAATAACTAAACATTACTTGATAATTTGTATCAACAAAGGGAAAACAAACAAATGTTGCATACATAACTAAACATGTGATAATAGGTGTGATAGAGGGTGAATTAAAGCAAGTGAATGTGGCATGACTAACTAAACATTACTGGAACTAAACATCAGAAAGATATTGTGACATCAAATACTAAACATTCATAACCTTATCAATTTAATTTCCACTTCTGCCGTTAAGAGTTGTGGAAAGGAACAGTTTGCGATCTATGTAGCACTGCCGTCTTGTTTTAACAATGATCATGACCGCCACATGCGTCGTCACCCAAGACAAGCTTTCATTACAGAGAATGCCAAGGCCTCCTTGGCTCAACTTTGCCAACTGGACTTCTCTTTCCGCAACTGCAATCTCGACTGGCCCCTTGACTGGACTCTCGAGTGTTCTCGGCCGTTCTCTTACCTGGAATTTTATATGATGGTCTCTTACCTGGAATTCTATATGATGGTCTCTTACCTGGAATTCTATATGATGGTCTCTTACCTGGAATTTTATATGATGGTCTCTTACCTGGAATTTTATATGATGGTCTCTTATCTGTAATTTTATATGATGGTCTCTTACCTGGAATTTTATATGATGGTCTCTTAAGTGGAGCATTATATGATGGTCTCTTACCTGGAATTTTAAATGATGGTCTCTTACCTGGAATTAATATGATGGTCTCTTATCTGGAATTGTATATAATGGTCTTTTAACTGGAATTTATATTTCGGTCGCTTATCTGGAATTGTAAATGATGGTCTATTACCTGGAATTTATACAATGGTCGCTTATCTGGAATTGTATATGATAGTCTCTTACCTGGAATTTAATTTGATGGTCTCTTACCTGGAATTTTATAGGATGGTCTCTTACCTGGAATTTTATTTAATGGTCCCTTACCTGGAATTTAGCTGCGTCCGTGGCTAAGGCGTTGCGAGTCCGACTCGTAAGCCAGCATACCGCAATCGAAACCCACTGCAGGCTGCGTGGATTTTTGTCGTGGTATGGGACGTCGCAGGTCGACCCAGCCAAAAATGGGTACCAGGATAGGCTGTCCTGGGAAAGTAAAGACAGCCGGCGTAATGCTGACCACATTACCCACAGTTTGCTGATGGTCTGTAAAAATATGGGACGCTCTGCCCATATGCCCGATGCACCGAAAGGCGTGAAAATGGAACTTTACTTACCTGGAATTTACATGATGGTCTCTTACCTGGAATTTATATAATGGTCACTTATTTAGAATTTTATATGATAGTCTCTTACCTGGAATTGATATGATGGTCACTTATTTGGAATTTCATATGTTAGTCTCTTACCTGGAATTTATATAATGGTCACTTATTTTGAGTTTTATATGATAGTCTCTTACCTGGAATTTATATGATGGTCTGTTACCTGAAGTTTTGTATGGCGGTCTCTCACCTGGAATTTTATCAGCACGGCCACGCTGATGTCGGTTACCAAAACTATAAGCCGGGTAGTGAGGGCGTGTTGCGGTGACAGCGTTATCCACGCAGTGGGCACCTGGACCTGGTGTGTTCAAACTTCTGATATCTTTCTGGCGTGAGTAGAGAGAATAACTTGGGGTGCCTTCTAGTCCATCTCGCTGAATCTGTGGAAGAGAGAGAGGAAGAGTAGAGACGATAATTTGGGGGTGCCTTCTAGTCCATCTAGCTGAATCTGTGGAAGAGAGAGAGAGAGAGAGAGAGAGAGAGAGAGAGAGAGAGAGAGAGAGAGAGAGAGAGAGAGAGAGAGAGAGAGAGAGAGAGAGAGAGAGAGAGAGAGAGAAAGAGTAGAGACGATAATTTGGGGTGCCTTCTGTCCATCTAGCTGAATTCTCCTCCTCTTCCACCACCACTACTACCATCACCACCACCACCATACCATGAAATGAAATTAATCCAGTGAACGTGACAGAGAAACTTAACGAAGCTGGGAAAGGAAATAACACACACGGAAACAATTAGACGTTTCGGTAACAGTCTTTATAGAAATGTGTCAGAAAAGGACACCTCTTAATGTTCCTGCGTGTGTTTTTTCCTTCTTAAGCTTCTTAGTCAGATATCAGTGAATGGATTTATTGACACTAGCTTGACTGCAATCACTCCCCCCGCCCCCCTTTTTTTTTAACAATCCAGTATAGGACTGCTTTTTATCAGAGATGTAGAAGGATGTTACCATCTGCCCTGGAACTCTTTCTCCGGCTGCTGAAGATAGGGACAGTGCACTTACGGAAATGTCCCGTGTGTTGCGACGTCAGTTCTAACTGAGCGCAGCGTATTGTTAGTATATGTGCAGAGAGCCGTAAGAGAATACTTTCAGAAATGGGAATTATTACATATATTACAAAAACAGGCGCACACGCCATTTGAAGGAGACAGGTTCGATTCCCGACACGGTAACTATAGCTTGCTATTTTTATGTATCCTTGTGTTTTCTTCTATCTTTCTACTTCTTTTGTTCATCATGAATCGGCAAGTCCTTTACAGAACGTCGCTCTCTTCACGGCCCGCCTGAAAGTATTTCTTTTCCTAGCCAGCTCTCCGGCCCCATGTGCTTTCAATGCCAATGCATCCTCAATGTCTTGTATCCATCTTCGCGGTGGTCGACCCCTGCCTCGCCTTCCACAAACGGCACCTTCTACCATCGTCTTTTGCAAGCCACCATGCCGCTTGACGTAGCCAAAATACTTCAACTTTCGGGACGGGATGCCGTTTATGAGCCAGTTCTCCTTGATGTTCAACTCGTTTAGAATGTCCATGTTTTTCCTCTTCCTGATCCATGCTATTCTAAGAATTTTTCTATAACATTTCATTTCAAAAGCTCTAATCTTTTTCCTCAGTGTCTGAGTGAGAGTCCAAGACTTACACCCGTCAATTGCTTCTTTTATGAGCGTCAATCATTGTCTGTTTGTTTATTATATATCATAAATATTCGACAAGTTAATATCTTACTTTTGGATTGGGATAATGACAGGGTCCAGGGCCGGGGGTGCTTTTATAATACCCATGTCTGACCCCGAAGGAATAGGCTGGGTTCTTGTAGTGGACACTCCGAGGATCATGAGCCCTTTCTCCAAGGAGTGTCGGCAGCATGTAGGCTGGGCCAGGTGATGTGTATAACTGGGCGATAGGCCCTCGAGGCTTTGTGTACTCATACACCATGATGAAGGCGGCAAACAGGCATAGAGATGTCCACTCTTCTGCGTGAAAGTTCGGCTTCAGGCGTGTGTGGAATGTCAAATGTGCAACCTAAATCTGGCAGGTGTTCGCTTCATATATCATTTTTCTACACGGTTCGGTTCTGGAATAAAGAAAGGGAAAAGATAAAGCATTTTTTTTCGTGCGTGCTTGCGTGCTGCGTGCGTGTGTGCGCGCGCGTGCGTGTGTGTGCTGTTTGTTTGCTTTTTCTTCTTTTCTCGTTCACCGGCTGTAGACTCTGGCGGAAAGTTCTGGTTGTTTCTCCACCTCTGGACATTAAACTTATTCCAGAACCTGAGCCTTGAATGCAATCCGTTTTACAGATTTGACTTATTTGTAAGCATACTGTTGGTTCCTTGCCTCTCGGGCAGATGCACTCTGACTTCCAAGGAACCCACCCCCGCCCCCTTTTCCAATTAGTCGACTCCTACGACAGGTTTGTTAGGGAATCAGTGGGTCTATTCTTTTTCTCCCCCACAATGGGCCCCAGAACCCGGGTGGGGAGGGAGGGGATGTTTCATGTGTGAGTGTGTGTGTTCGTTGTGTCTGAGTAATGGTCTTTTACCAATTGCAGAAGATACTTTCTCAGCAATAAAACGAGTATTGAAGCCATATAGAACCTGTGTTGCTTATATGAATGTGAGATGGACAATAAAAATATAAGCTGAAAAAAAAAACATTTACTCACAGTAGAGGTGTGGTGTTTGGAAAAAAAATACAAGAATATCATAGAACAAAAAAATATTAAAAAACGGGCAGTGAGAAAATTTGACTCAAAATCTTGGGAAACGACCGGCAAGATTGCTTGGGAAAAAAAAAAAAACTAAGGGGAGGTGAAGAGATAAATACACGAACGACTTAGTAATATGGATAGAGGATAAGGAGACTACTGGCCTGATCCGTAATTCTGTGGATCATGTGAGATGATGAAACATGGCCACCTACGTTTATTGATATGACACATGCTGATGGTGATGATGATATGTGTGCGTCTATTGTGTGTGTGAGAGAATGGATATATGTAATTTTACAGTCAAGGACTTGTTTGCAAGATGAGACAGCCAGTCATATGTCAACTCTTTTGAGTCACATTTCGCTGCATGTATGGAAAGTTATATCTGACCCAGACATACATGTGTGTGTAACTGCACCAGTAGCTTCTTCTTCAGTCAGCTCTTCGGTCCACCGGGGTTCACTGCAGTTATCACCCGGTGCCATTCATTTCTGTGGAGCGGCTGGCCGAACGGTTGGAACGCTGGGCTCTCAAGCTTCGACTCTTTGGTAAGGCAGTGGATTTTTTTCTGTCGGGGGCAAAATAAAAACCTCATCTGCACAGTCGTGGCGACAGCACTAGACATGTGGCCGTAAATCCTCAGACTCAAAGACCCCCTGCCTACACCGCATAAGTGGTAATAAAGGCAATTATTGGCAGTCTTTACCATTCATTTCTGTGACTGACTGGAAGTTGGTGACTGAGTTTATAGGGGCTGAGTGGTCTCGATGTATGGCGTCCGCCTCGAATGCTGAAGGTCCAGGGTTCAGGCCCCGGTGAAGACTGGGGTATTTTCACGTGGACTTCTAGTAGTTTTCCCTGGTCTCTGGGTGAAAAGATCGGACTCACTGTTGCGAACGTAAAAAAAAAAATCACTTGCCAGTTCGAAATCGAAAAGAGTAGCCTAACGGTGCAGCCCGGGCAAAATTTGGAGTAAAAAATCTACCTAAAGTATTTCAGGATCCTCGCCGGTGCTTCGGAGCTTGTGCAGTGTACTGAGAAACTTTGGACTCAGGCTTAAGTTAAAAGTAGAACGGAGTACTTCATGACATTAGGTTGAACAGGTAAATGAACTATAAACCAGGTCTGCCCTGAAATTATCTTTTTCCGCCGTCTTCTTGATCTGCCTTTAGGTGTACCAATATCTATTGGTCATTATATCTGTTCACATCCTTCTGTTTTGAATAGTGACAACACAGGCCGCTTTACTTCTCAAGAACTTTACCGAGCAGGGTTGGGTCGACTTGGGGGCCGAGATTAGTTTTGGAAAAAGCACGACCTCATCAGGAACTGAACCCAGACCTTAGGATCTGCAGGCAAGCGTCTAGGCTCCACAATACGACGGCTTCAGATTTATATATATATATCGGTTCATAACTACTCATTTCAAACAGAGCTCTTCTTTAAAATGTATCAAGACCGCTGCATCTCTCCAGGTGTCTGTCTATGAATGGTGCCGACACTACGAAAACATGGGGGGGGGGGGGGCTACTCAGCCTCCTTATACGTCTTCTAGTAGGGATCCGAGGTGGTGCAAGCCATTAACAGACAGAAGCCAACAATGAAGCGTGTAATAATAATAATAATAATAATAATAATAATAATAATAATAATAATAATAATAATAATAATAATAATAATAATAAGTGACAACTTGAAATATCAGTGGAAAAGGGGTAGAGACAGACCAAGAGAGATGAAGCTGGATGGGCTGAAACGATGGCATGGAGAGATATATCAAGAAAGCTGTTTCAGGCAACCAGGGATCGTGATATGTGGAGACGCATGGGCGCCTACGCTAGTTGGCAGGGCACATGAATGATAATAATAGTAATAATAATAATAATAATAATATGTTGAATGGAAAAATGAATGTAATGATATATTTGAAACAACATGTTTAAACAAAAACTTTAGAGAATTTCTAAACATGGTGTAGAGGGAGGGGGTGGAGCGGCAGAGACCCCTTTAAAATAAGAAAGGTGGGGGGAGGGGTGAGATCCTTGCCGCTGGGTTCCCCCGCCCCTGCTATCTATAATCCCATAATGGTATGTATGGTTGTAACTCTGAGTTACTTTGACAGTTTGATCAAGTCGTTTAATTTCTGGCGTTCGGCTTCGTTAGACTCGATTAATTCGTATCTGAGGCCACATACTGACTTGATCCAGGTCTTTCTTTGCCTGACTCGTCGCCTTTCCCTGAACACAACCATATGGTGTGATTTTGGAAAGAACGGCATATCTTATTTTATAAAGTTATTACATATCTATACCACTGTATTTTTTGCGCATTTTTTTTAAAACTAATTTTTAATGCCTGCGCTTTCTCCACGAGGAAAGTTGGCCACATCAGCACAGTTGTCTTTGGTAATCTTACGTGGTGAGGTGCTTTAATCTCTTTCATTGTGCTGATGGTAAAAGAGAGTCGCAGCTGCCGCTATGCAATGTACTTAAAACTTACCTGAGCAAAACACACGCCAGTATCCTTCACTTCTGGTTGAGCACTTTCTTCAGTGACTACGAATGTTAAAACCCAATCCCTAATCATAATTACTACCCAGTTTTAAACCTACTCGCCTGTACACAGGCCATGCGTTGGCAAATCTGCTGTTTCACTGTGTCTTCATTCAATGGGGCTACA